AAATAGTTATTCACATATAGAGATGATTTCTTAGAAACTATGTTTGCTTTTCCCAAGGTGACATAATCTGATCCCATATGTGTTTAGGTAACGCAAGTTCCACTTGCACTCTGTAATATATATACTCAGGTAATAACCATAATTACTTCCAGGAGTCTGTATAAGCAACAAGTCCTGGACAGGTGACAATTTGGGCTGACAATCTACCTGCTGCATCAGTTGATGCAAATATCAATGCAAACATAACCTTTGGGACTGCCAGCTCTCAGCACGACATGAACCTACACTCTAAACTGTCCCACTAAATATAATGAAAGAATTTACTAATAAGCATGCGTAGGATTGTAGCTTTGACTGATTAGTCATCTTCTTGTTATCAGATCACTAATTAATTAGACAATTCAGTGTAAACACCTCTGCACAGAAGCCTTTTTCAGGCATTGAAAGAAACAGAACTTCCCACGTAAGAGAACTACCTCAGACTGTTGGAAGGAAGATGGTCCCTGAAACTGAAGTAGCATGCTAGAAGATTGTGGAAGCCCGTGTGGAGCTGTGGTTAAGAGTGCTGGACTGGGACTTAGGTGATCTGGGTTCTAGTCCTTACCCAGCCCTAAAACTCAGTCACAGACTTTCAGCCCAACCTACCTTGCAGGGTTATTGTGGGAGAACAGGCAGAGGAGAGTGATATGGGTAGCCTTGGGTTCCTTGCAGATATAGTGGGATAAAAATAATGATTGAGGTATCACCTCTCTCCTGTGTTTTGTTCTTAGTATTTGCAGTGCAGAACACTATATCTGGAATGCTCTGAACATCCAAGTTCCATTATATCCAAGTCCCATTGAATGACTAGGGCCAATATGTTTCTATTGACCTGCCTTTCACGAATATGGAAAATCCCCATTTAGAGTCATATTCGGGTCACATATATGGCTGCATTTCCTTCCGTTCCAACTATTTTTATTTTATTTGTGTAGAGCTCCAGTTCAGATCAGAATCATGATGTGTGGGGAAGAGGGTGGGTGTCCGGTGGAGCCTGTCACTCTTTACGGCAAAGCCCAGCTACCCCAGAAGGAAACTGAGTGCAAACATGCCAGGAATAGACAGGCTTCCAGACATTTTGTACTAGCACTTCTATAATTCTTGACCATTACCCGTGCTGACTGGGGCTGATGGGATTTGTAGTGCAACACATCTAGCCTGCCTACCACTGATCTGGGAGGGTTCATGGGGAAAATCACAAAGGGTGTGGGTGTTACACTGTGGTCCTGGTCAGAGCTATAGTTACATTTTTAAAAGAGTTGGGAATGTAACCATCCATTTTGCCCAGGTTCAAACCTGAGCTGGTGCCCAGAACTCTATTGTAACAACTAAGCCTGCTTTAGTTGTTTTTAATGGATTCCTGTTTTCCACTAATTCTTTTAGTCAGTTGATATATAGGGATGTTATCGGTTATGACTCATGTTACAACTTAATGACCCTGTGAATATATTTGAACTGGGGGAACCAGAACAATGATAACCTGTTTCTCAGCACAGCATGCTTCCATTTACACCAGCCTTCCCCAAAGCTGTGTTCTCCACATGTGTTGGATGCCACTCCCAAAGCGCTAAAAAAGGAGTCCCAAGATATTAAGGGACGCCACAGAGGTCTAGTCCAAAATATCCTGATGGCACCAGGTTGGGGAAGGCTGATCTTTGCTGCACCTGTTGGGACTTTTTAGTAGCCTCTTCCCTCAGGTGAATTCTCCCCATTTAGATATCACAGTCTTCCTCTGCTCAGCAGACCTTCTGGCATGTATTTTACTCTGAATGGCTCATCTGTGGTGAGATTCCAGTTAAGGAATGCCTTTGTGCCTTGTTTTTGTTGATTTGTTTTGGCCTGCAAGTATAAATAGCAACATAAGAACCTCCTGTGCTAATTTTATGTTTCTTCCCTTATTGACATCACTTTCGATTTGGTTTTGATGAGCTGGATCATGTCAAATGTCAGTGAGGTGGCCACTTGAACGGAAGTTTCACTAGTAACTGAGGCCCCTTAGAGACTGTGTGCGGGAAATGACAGCAGTGAAATATGAGGCACTTCCAGCCTTGCTCATCTGGGCATCTGCATTATTATTTTTTATATCGTGCATGTACATTTAATTTGGAAGGATGACAGAAGATGCGAAATCCTAAATTACAATTTGCCGTTCCTCTTCCCATATTACTTTTGGAAACTTCCTCTGAGGAAAAGTATGCCCATAGAGGCTTAATTTCTCAGAAGCATATTCTTTCAGAAATTAAGAACTGACATTTGCAGCACTGGATGGTATTTGGATGTGCTTGATCCTGCAGGGGGGGAAATCTACTCAACAGTCTTTCCCAAGAAGGAAAAATTGGAAATGGAGTATTAACAGCTCAGATCTCAGCACTAACTTTTGGGTATTCTATTTATTTGATTTTTAGCCCACTGCATTAGCATATGGCTCCTTTTTTTAGTTAGACTCCTATGGTTGTTGAGACAGGTTAAAGTCCTACAGTTCCCAGCATTCCTCAGCCAGCATGGACTTTTTTCTGCCTAAATATGCCTAAGAATTGTGACCTTAAGTTGAATGTTCAAATGGAAACCTGGAGATGCTGCCTATCCTTTTAGGAGCACCGAGGGAAATTACGTATTTATTTGCATTCTTTGTTTATTGTTTAATAACTTCTGTGCAGCCACTGTGGACCACATTTCCAAAGTAGCAGTCACTCCTACACAGTCCCTTGATCTGTCTTCCTTGCTTATGTACTGTACTTCGCCTCCCCAGCAGCATCAAAGGAGAAGGAGAAACTAACTCTCCAGCAGAGAATCAGGAAAGGAGAAACTATGGCTTCAACAGAGTTTGCAGCTGAAGGGATTTTGAAAAAAAAAATGTCAGTGTCCTATTTGATCTGCCAGTTCTGTGAATGGGTAGCCAAACAACTACAAATTAAAACAGTGATCCCACCTCATCAATTACTCTCTTCTGTGTTTGCCTTGTTTGTTTGGCTTCCATCTGCAAAGGTGGAGCCGGGATGGATCCAGCTTTTGATGTGCCCCCTCTGGATAAAGGACTAAAGCTGACTTTGCTCCCGAGGAATGGGACAAAGAGTCCATACCATATAAATAATTTAGTGCCTTCATGCATGGCAAGCAGCCCCAGGTTTAGCTGAATGGAAGCAATTTTGTCTGCCAGTGAAGTGGCAAACTCATCATAGGAGGCAGGTAATGACTCAGTCACTGGGTAAAGGCAGACTAATTTCTTTCTTGAGATGCCAGGTAATGACTCAGCCTCTGGGTGAATTCAGTTCTTGGGACTGCTTTACTTTATGACACTTTGTAAACGCAATAGTCCTGAGAAGGAGAGGGGAAATGGTCCCTTTTGAAAAACAGAACTCGAAAGAAAACCTAATTAAAAGCTGATGCATTGGAAGAACAGTTGCTTTCTGTAGATATTCTCAGAGGATTATTGGTTGTAGAATCTGCCTACCTTCAGCAGGAAGGATTTTTATAAGCTGAATCAGGTGAGGTGGGAAGACGTCAGTAGTGGAGGGATGTCATAAAAATGTCCTTTGGCATGCCAGCACTCCGCATGTGATAAAAGTATGTCCCTTGGATTTCAATGGGACTTCTAGTTGATGCTGTTTCCTCCATTACTGACAAATATGAGTTGTAGCCGTTTTAGAAGACCCATATTCTTGAGGCAGGAAGATGCACTGTTTTGCCTGTAATGTGTGGTTATTTACAAGCCAGGCAAGTGTGGGAGTCAGACAGACAGTGCTCGCCTGTAGCATGCCACTTGGAAGTCCATGAAATGTCTTCTTAAGGACTAGCTGCAAAACTAGACTCCTTTCTCCATTTCAGGTTGTGTCATATGGCAGGATATGTGTAGATGGGTCTGCATATGTGTTCAACCACTACTGAGTGGCAGTATCTTCAGCTCTTCGGGAATTCAGACGTGCCCTAAATTTTATCAGGAGTAGATGCTCTCTTGATATGAGCATAATGAGAGCTCTCTTCTTGTAGCCAAAGCCAAAATGCTTGACTAGTAGCCCTGCAGGTGTCATCACCCTAAGGATGGAGTGGGTGAATGAGTAAAGTGCTACAAACTGGAGTTTGTTCACTTTATTCTCCAAATTTGCTAAACTATTTTACTGCCTCTATGAGGACTAGAAGTTTGTCTTTAAGCAAACCTTTTATCTCTACTTTGTTAATGAACTCAACTTTGTCAAAAGGGCAGCATGTTTAAATTATTACATTTTGAAAATGAAATTGTGCTGGGGGGCGAAGTGTGCCTCACTTACTTGGGGGATAGGGCTGGGTGGGATCCTCATGTTTTGGATTGACACTGAGCAGGAGGCAAATCTGTGTGATACGCAATAGATCAGCGAACATCTTTCTCCCAATAGCTAAAAGCCACGACCCTCTGCATGGAAAACAGATCCCATCATCCCCCAGCATGTTATATTTCGATATGGATAAAACTTGAGGCAAGCAAGAGTGGGTTACTGTATGGAAGTTTTGTTCAGATGCTCAGAACAAAATTCCTGGGCTTAGAAAATATTGAAGTACTGCTCTTTTACATCACTTAAACTGATGAAAAGATTTTCCCAAGGATCGATATGGCTTATCTTTGCTTTTTATGTTTCTTTTTTCTTTAACATCCTCGGAGTGGCTTTTATGCGGTTGTGGTTGGTGGATCTGGGGCTTCGAGCGTAAAACAAAGCCGCTTCGCCGAGCCTGAAGCCCGGCTACCCACCGACCGACCACCAGTGCTTTGACCCATCCCAAGTTTAGGTAACACGGTGCTCGTGTGCGCGCGCCGGGGCCGACGCCTCCAGCACCAGATGGAGCACGCGAACAGCAAACTTTCCGTGCGGTCTGTCATTGGCTGAGGTTCGGCCAATGGCGAGCGCCCTCGACAAACAATGCAACTTTCTCCCAGCTCTGCGCGGGTTGCTTTCTTTCTATTTTTTTCTCCACCTCCTCCCGGCTGTTCCTCGTCTGCCGACTCCTCCCTCTGCTCTTTGCTTTGGTCTCCTCCAAGTGTGTGTGTGTGCGTTCGCGGAGAAGGAGGGACGGGCGCAGGTGGATCCGCCTGGAGAAGCGTTCGCGGCTGGGTGTTGCTTCCGAGTGATGGAGCGGGCAGGATTCTGCCGCTGATCTCTTTCTCGTCGCCCGCAAAGAAGACTCGGCTCATGGCCTCGGGAGAAGTTGCCGGGACTCGATCTCTTCCCTTTTCTCCTCCTCTTGACCCTTGGATGTGAGCTCAGCGGGCGGGCTAAGCGATCTCCCTGTGCGCGCCCTGCCCGAGGGAGGCAGCCGGGAGGGCCCATCCATGCCAGGGCTGCACCCAGCACTGGGCACCAGCAGCGGCGGCGGCAGCGGCGCTCACGACTGCGATTCTCTTTTCTCCTCCCCAGATGGAATTAAAGGGCGAGCGGCAGAGGAGACGAAGGGCGTGAGCCTGCCCGGGGAGAGCGGCGCCTCCAGCCAAGGTAAGAGCCGAGGGTGCACCGATGGAAAGCAAGCAGCGGCTTGGGTGGACTGGAGGGCAGAGCGACAGCCCTGCGGCGCTCTGGAGGAGGAGGCGACACGTCGGGGATGCGGCTTAAAAAGGGAAGCGAAGGGGAAGGCGAGGCCGGCGGCTTCTTTCTGTCTCTCTCCCCCTCTTTCCTTTCTTTCCTTTCTTTGCATTTTCCCGGTCCGCGTGACTCGGCCTGCATGCGACAAGGCGAGGGGCTCGGCCGGATCTTCCCGGAGAAAGAAAGGGGCGGCTTCCCGTTCTCTTCCTCCGCTGACTGGAGCGGAGAGGAGGCGTCCTTGAGCGAGCTGCTCCGAGGATGAGATCGGGGACTCTAGAAGCAAGCTCTAGCATGGGGCGGGGTAGGAAGCCCTTGCCCCATGCTTGCGGCTTGTTCGGAGGCTGTCGTCCCCGTTGCATGGTTGCTTGTACTAGGAGGAAGCGTCAAAGTAAAGCGCGCGGCTTTCTGATCCCTCTCGCTGCTTTCCCTCGCTTCTACTATTAGATGAGTTCTCTAGATCATGTTTGTTTGCTGGCTTGTTTGCCCTGGTCAGTCTCATGCTCTGTTCCAGAAAGCTGCGGTGCTCTCATATTATGGGGATATTTTGGCATTGCTTGGTAGAATGTGCCTTGGCTTGCTTGCTCGAGTCAGTCATCGAGAACCATATGCTTGCCTGCCTCCCCCAGCCTGCTCCATCATGCTTCAATATCTTGGCTTGTAATATTGTGACTTTTCAAATACTTAGCATACAAATACTGAGCGTTTAGAGAGCACTCTATTATATTTATCTCCCACGTTTTTACCCCTGCAAGGGACCTAAAGCAGTTTACGTAAGCCCATTTCTTCTTTCTATTTTATTCTCACAAGAGTCATGTGAAATTGGTTACACTGAGCACTGGTGACAGGCTAAAAAGGTGTTACTTCTCTAGTTTGTTTCTTTCCCCCCCCCCCCCCCAGCAACTGCACTTGTGCAAAGCTGTGGTGCACCAATAGGTGTTGAATACTGAGCTCATGGACCAAATCTGGCTCACAGAGGTCTCAGTCCAGCCCTCCAAGGTTTCCTGGGTGTCCTCTGAGCTGCAATGGTTTGATGGCCTCTTTTCTTTCACTTGGCCTCCCTCCCCAATCCAAAAGGTTGAAATACCGTTCCATAGTTCCTAGCAGTGAGAGATTTAAGCTAAATCATCTCTGTATTTTTGGTCTAAACCTTTTTGCCTCTGGCCTCACCCACCACTGGAATGTGCCCTCCAAAGATTCTCCAAAACCTGCATCACATGTTTGTAGGATCTTGTTTGTAGAAGAGGGGATTAACTGGACAAACTCCTGGAATCCTCTGGCTTTATGCTTGCTAATCTGGACACCAAGCTGAAATAATCTTTTCCCAGCCTGGTGCTCTTCAGACATGTTGGACAACAGTTCCCATCTTCCCCAGCCATTCATGTCCCACAGCCAAGTAGCACACTAGAGTGGAGGAAGTTGTCTTAAATTATTTATTGTCATTTGGACAGTTCTGGCATGATGTGGCCTTTCTTTTTAACTCCAGCCACCAGCCGATTGAGGCAGGAAACACCATCACTGGTATGACCAAGATTTGCTTGTAGGGCCATGGATATGGCTGGCTGGCTGGCTGGTGCCTGCCCCCTACAAAACAGTGGTTCTCCACCTTGGCTCTCCAGATACTGTTGGACCACAGCTCCTGATATCCCCAGCCATTTGTCATGCTGGTGTGGCATGGTGGGAGTTACAGTTCCTCAGCATTGGAGGAGTCAGTCTATGGGAGCCGCTGTTTAGAAAGCTCCTAAAGTAACCACCTGAGGCCAGCTGCTTTCCCTTCTTGCCTGGTATTACAAGCTGGACTTCAGGCTTTTGTGCCACAGCTGGTGGGAATGGAATGATGGAAGGGGGTGCAGTCCTTGCAGACCTTCTTACTGCCATTGTGGGTGGGCTCTTTAAAGCTGCCAAGCACCATCTCTGCCTTAAGACCTGGGAATCCTGGTGTTGGGTCTTGAACTGTAGAGATGTGCCTTCCGTTGCAGTAGTGCCTGACTAGATGGCCTTCAGGTGATTTACATCTTGCTCAGCAGAGTTTACCCAAGTCCAAAAAAGCCTTCTGCACACCCACACACCCTCCAAAGTTAGAACAGTCTTGAAATTCCTTTCAGCTCTTGATATTAAGGGACTGTTTGGGCTGGGCTGGCAGAGGGGCTCCATGGGTTGCCATCCATTGGTTTTCTGTGGTTTCTTTGTGTGTTTTACAGGGTGCTTTCCATTACACACAAGAGAAGTCAGATGAACGAACAATGCAGCTTGCTATTTGCACCATCATGAAGGGTGTGTGATTATGTCTGGGTCATTCCTTTTGTAGCTAACAGAAGGGACACCCACTCAGTACTGAATGCCTACCTTGCATGCAGAGGGTCGCTGGCATCTCCAGGTAGAGCTGGAAAGACTTCTGTCTGAACCCCTGGAGAACTATTGCCAGCCCGTGTCAGCAAGAATGGGTTAGGTGGCCCATTGGTCTGATTCAATATAACTCAGCGTCCTATACACTTCATAAGAAGAATACGAAGCTTGGTGAGATGGTTCTCATGGGTTCTCAAGTGGGATCTGTTTGAGTTTGCTAAGAGGTCAAGAACAAGGGTCCTCCAAAATGTGAAAAGGCCCTCTTTGTAGGGACGTAGTTGAACAATAGGTTCAAGGACATTTGAGGAAGGCTAGCGCTCTTTTCATGTGCAAGGTGATGGTGCAAATATAACACTGATTCTGAGTGCATATCTGGCCCAGCTCCACAAAGTTGCCTTGGGTCTTTATAAGAATGAAGCAGCTGAGGTCACAATCCTATACCTGTTAAGATGAAAAGAAAAGAAAAGACCTATGGCTCCCAGCATTCCTCAGCAGTAGAGCGAGCTGGGAATGCTGGGAATCATTGGATTACTTCTGTCCAAACATGCAAAAGATTGCAACAAGAGAAAGATGGCTATCTTCCTATGGTTCATATTCTATATGTGTATGCTCACATGGGGTCCAGCAGCTTGTAGGTACAGTACAAGGCATTTTGTAGGAACACTCTTGATTGAGGTTGAACCTAAAAGATTTGAGCCTCATAAGATTTTCATGCTTCCACCTGATGCGTGGAGGAAAAACCCCAGTAATGAGAGAGGCTGAAAAAATGTACTAGATTTTTTTCCTTATGTTACCAAACCTATTTTGGATTTTAGTTTCAGCAGACAGGTTTGGTCTGTTTGGATATCTTGGGCTCAAGTGATGTTGACCTCTGTACAGCTCTGATCTGTGTTCATCTGTTTAAAAACTTTGCAGTATAATCCTTTTCATACCAACTACATGAACAGTTGTATGTTTTATTTATTTATTATTTCTATTTGTATCCTGCCTTTTTCCTGCGAAGGGCTCAAGGCAGCTTACATCATTCTCCTCCATCTTATCCCCACAACAACAACCCTGTGAGGTAGGTTGGGCTGAGAGTCTGTGACTGGCCCAAAATCACCCAGTTGGCTCCATGGCTGAGTGGGGACTAGAACCCAGAGCGTCTGAGTCCCAGTCCCGTGCCCTTAACCACTACACTGACATACCAAACAAATACCAACTCAGAACCAAGCCCTACTGGGTTTAATGGGACTTAGTCCTGGGTGACTGTGCACACTTGGATGTGGATGTAACTACCTGAGGCTTCCTTCTGAATGGCTTGCCCAGGTATTGGCAATAGGTGCTGATTCAGGAAAGTGCTCTTACGGCTTTTGGAGTTTCAGAAGAGGGGACAGTTCTTCCAGGTTCTGCTTTGTCCATTTCTGCAACAGGAGGATGAGGCAAGCCTCACCTGGTGAATTTAATTTTGCTTAATGTACAGCTTGTCAAGGTACTGGAGAAGCTCTGTCATGTACTGTTTCCCAAAGCATGTCCTTCAGCACCCTCTGGTGCAACCCGGAGGGGCAGGGGTAGGCAACATGCTATCTTTCTGAAATCTAGGACCGTTATCCATCCTATCTGGGGCTAATGGTACAATCCAACACCATTTGGGGGGGCCACCAGCCCTGCTTTAGGGAGTTGCTGGGGATAAGGTGTCTCAAGCCAGTGCAACTTTTCTCACCCTGGCAGGATGAGCTGCATCCGCCAAATCCCTCTTTAAACCTTTAAAGGGACATGTTCTGCTTTGTATTGGGCCTCCTGCGATTGGAAACATTAGCAAGGGTATCTGGGCAGTTCTGGCATTTCTCCTGCTGCTCTGGGGACAACTCCATGTTTAAACATCTGCCTCCATCCTCAGATCTTCAACTAAAGTGAATCCATCACAGCTGAATTTTAGAAGTGAAATATTTGACTTTCAGAAAGTCATATTCCAAAACCTGAGCTGAGCTTTGGCTCTGAGTGAAGTCTCATTTTGACACCTGAGGTTTTTATTACTATTATTGTTATTATTATTATTATTAAGCTCACAAGTCCTGCCTACCCTTCCCCATCCAGATACCCTCCAAATGTTTTGGACTATGGCTGTCAGAATCCAGGACCAATAGCCATGCATGCTGAGGCTGATGGGCATTGGTGACCAAAAGACAGGGACGACAACAGGCTGGTGAAGGCTGCCCTCCATGGCTGATGTTGTGTACTGAGTTTAACCCAGGATGCTTTTGAAGAAATCGGAACTTAAGGGAAGGGCCGTCGTCACTCAGTGATAGGCATTGTGCTTTGCAGAAAGTTCCAGTTTAATTCCTCACTGCCAGTTAATGTAAACATTACTAGGCTATCCCAGCCAAATGGCCCGATGGTATAAACGTCCCCCTATGCTTTTCCTAGCGAGGTTGAGGGCTTGCTGACCTCTCCGTGCAGGGATCGATCAGGTGATTCTGCTCCAGCTCAGCTGTAGCTGCTTTTTCACACTTGCCAATTATTGGATGATGCGCTGGATTCATCTCAGTCATATTTCATAATGAAGCACAGCGAAAGCTGGTTACTGTAAA